AGAACGCTGGCCTCAGCCTTAGCCACGGCGCAGCCGCGCTCCACCCTGGGCACTCCCGGGCCTTACACATGACAGAACCAAGGGTCAGCTGGAACTGCAGAGCCCACCCAGAGCCCAGCGGGTTCGGCTGTACAGCTAATTAGCCTCTGGCGCCCAGCCCCCGCACCAGGCAATCCCACGCGGGAGTCAGGATCCCTGAGTTCTAGCGGATGGAGCAGGAGACAGAGAGCCAGGACTCCTGGGTTCTCTGTCTGGGGAAGTGCACTCTCGCGATTCCAGCATGGGACTAGGAGTCAGGACTCCTGAGTTCTCCTGCTGGCTCCATCACTTGCCTCACTGGGTGGCCTTGGACGAGGCTCTTCACAGGTCCATGCCTCACTTTCCCCACCTGTCCCATGGGGGCGATGACGCGCCTCCACCTCTGAGCGGGTCCTGAGGCTCCGCTCACTAAGTCCTGGTGACGCAGTGCTGTGAGATCCAGGGGGAACCACGCCTCACAAGGGCCCAGAGATCAGCTGCTGCCCCAGTTTGCTCAGACCTGCTCCCTGGCAGGGGTTATATCCCTGCCCTTGTCAGATCTAACCAGCTGATAAATAATTTCCATACCCAGCACCCAGAAGCCCCTTTATCCTGATACCAGGGCTGCTGGCTCAGTGAGGCCAGAGAAACCTGGCTCCCCAGGGAGACAAGGGGGGATCGGCCCCGATCCTGCATGCACAGACGCATACACTTAACTTTACACAGGTGAGCAGTCCAGGGGCTAGGCCTGCCAACCAAGGGGCTGGGCTGGGCTGGGCCCCCAAACCCCTGGTTCTATTCCTGGCTCTGTCACCGACCTGCTGTGTGTCCATTGGCAAGTCACTTCCTGTCTCAGCTTCCTCTCCCACTGGTCTAGCATAACAGCTCGTCTACACCTGAAAACCAATTCGGATTAAGGTAGGGTGTGAATTTACAGCAATAACTAATCCGAGATAAGAACGTCCGCATGGGAACTGTTCCATAGGGGCTAGGCCGGTTCATTTCCCCCTGCAGGATCAGGGTCAGAAAGCCCAATTTCAGATCTCAGCTGTAGGATGTAAATCTGGAGTGACTCCATGTAAGACAGCAGAGTGACTCTGGATTCACACCGGGCAGTAAGATCCAAACCCGGCCCTGGGGTTTCCCTCCCAGCCATCTCACCCGCAGTTGTTTCCCGTTGCTCGCAGGACACCTCGGCCCCGCCCGCACCCCCTTGGTCAGGGGCCCGGCCCCGGCGCCCCCCGGCCGGTCACACACGGGCCGGCTCCGTTCCGCCTTAAACGGGGACGCGGCGCCACCTTAAGCGCCGGCGGGGCCAGAGACCGGCCGGAGCCTCCTCGGCTGAGCGCGGCCAGCGGGGGGGTCCGGCCACCTGCGTCTCCTGGGGGGGTTCCCCCCATCACCCAGCACGGGGGGTCCCCGCCCTCCCCCCACTCGCCTGCCTGCGTCTCCTGGGGGGGCCGGGGTCTCCCCATCACCCAGCACGGGGGAGGCCCCCGCCCTCCCCCCACTCGCCTGCCTGCGTCTCTTGGGGGGGGCCGGGGTCCCCCCATCACCCAGCACGGGGGGGGTCCCCGCCCTCCACCTCCCCCCCCCCCCCGGAGAACAGCACCTCCCTCGCATGTCACGTCCCCGCCTGGCAGAGAGAAGCAGCCAGACTTGGCATCATGGCAGCAGAAATACCAGTCACAGCGTTCCCTGGCGGCGCCCTCCCGAGGCAGGGTGTGAAATTCGATTGCTGCCCCAGCAAGGCCCAGCCTGTGAATATGACGGCGCATGCTAACTTCACAGCCTGCTCTGGGCTGCTGCAGACCCCTTCCAGGAGAGACCCGGCGGGGAGCCGGAGAGAACCACAGGGCCTGTCTGTGTGCAGCAGCCTCCCCAGAGAATCCACCTTAGATTCATCTCAGCCCAGCGTCGGCTCCTACCAGCCCTGGGGAGCTCCCACCCGGTGCGAACTGGTTGAGAAAAGCAGAGTCCAGTCCGCACAGACACCAGGGCTGCAGAGCCCGGCAGCCCCCAGTATTCAGGTACGCGACGCCGAGCTCCCAGGACGGCCCTCCCACCCCTCGCCATCCCCGCGACCTGCCATCCCTAGCCGCAGGACCACCAGTCTGGTGCGGGAGGGGAAGCACATAACAAATCAAACCGCCCCGGGGGGCAGAAATGTCTTCTCCGATTTCCCCAGCGTATGTGTTTGCTCCTCACGTGACTTATGGCTTTGTCAGGTCCCCTTTGATGGAACGACAGCCACTGAAATGCCCACTCAGGTCAGGATCTGCCCTTGGGCCTGGGCCAGGAAGGTGGATGTGGGGGATGGAGGCAGGAGCTCTCCCGTCTGCCATTGGCAGGCGAGGGGCGATTCAGGGTGCGAGGCCTGCCTGAGCCCAGCAGAGATCTCGGGTGGCCCGAGGCAATCCCTGCAGCAAAGTCCTCTCCTACCTGGCTTGTTCCGGATTAGCTTCCTGGGGCATGGATACCAGGAGCTCTGGCCTGGCCCCTCTAATCCCGGAGCCAGGCACAGCGAGAGCCTGTGGCATCCACCTGGAATGAAAGCAGCCTGGCCTGGGAATGGAAGGGCCAGGGTCTCTGCCTCAGGTGGAAACCAATATCTACCCATACATTGCAAGGAGCAATCCCTGGCCAAGTCACTGATGCTCTCAGAGTGCAACCGGGTCCTGAGTTCTGCCTGGACCCTGCCTTACTAGTTCTGCTGCACCCACATTCCCACTGCAGTGTGGCCCCATTTCCTGGGCTCTGGTCCCATGCTCCGACCCCCAGGCCCACCCAGACCCTTCCTCCCATCTGTCCAGGCTTGTGCTGGGTTCTGAGTGGGACCCCAGACAGGTCAGATGCTCCCAGGGCTGGGGCTAGATCTCCTTCTGCATCACGTGTGGATTAAAGTCTTGGAACCAAACGGTGGCCTTGACCACAGCAAACCTCCCCAGATCCAGCCACAGAGCAGTCAGAGGGCAAATGCTATTTCCCTTCCGCCGATACAGTCCCTTGTTCCATCCCTGTCCGCGCCAGCCAGGGCGGGTTACACTCTGGGCTCAGCACCTGGCCCCAGAGCATGTGCTGACAGCAGGGAGAGGGACCCCAGAGGTTCCACCCATGCTGAAGGGAGAATGCACAAGCATTGTGCGCAGTCCAGAGGGGGAATCAGAGAGAGCCAGCCAGCGAGACTGGGGCCCAGCAAGACACATCCAGTGCCTGAGCTTCTGACCTTAGTGAGCCGCAGCCAGTCCCTTGTGGCCCCAAACCTCCCGCGTCGGACTGGGTTTGTCAGAGTCCCGCTTACCAGCGAGGGACAGCGACCCACCGGGGACACGCAGAACAGACCTGAACTCCTGCTTCGCACGCCAGCTAACCCTTCTCTGACACACAAGCGGCTAAGGCTTTAGCCTAGGAAACGTGGGCTCTATACCCGGCTCTGACACGGACCTGCTGTGAGACCTCGGGCAAGTCACGTCCCTGTGCTGTGCCTCAGTTTCCCCTCCCGTGTTTTGTCCTCACTCTCTGCCTGTACAGCACCAAGCGCAATGGAGCCTGGGGGTGCTACCATTGCAGAAATAACAACAGCATCCTCCCCACCCCAGCACAGCCACAGGCCACTGCTGCGTGGCCAGGGACCAGGGAGAAACCCCGCCCGTCGCTCCCAGTCCAGACCCGCTTCTCCCCCAGACTCATTCCGGGGGATTTACCACCACAGCCCCCTGGCTGAGCTCGGGGGGATCCTAGCCCCGGTGGAGTCAATGGAGATTATTACACCCTATGTTTTTAGGCCAGAATTTTCTCAGCACTCTGCACCTCTGCAAATCAGGGCAGCTGGAAACCCAAAGGCCCAGAATCAGCAGGCAGCACTGAAACCATGGCATGGACTGTGGTGTGGAGCTTCCCCCAGAGCACCCTGCAGTGTCTCTGGGGCAGAATGAAGGTCGATATTCCTGCAGGGCTTCCCAGGGGGGCATCACCTCCTGGCTCTTACCAATGCTTCTGTGCATGGAGCCGGCTTTGCCAGCTGCCACGTGCCCTGGACAGCAAACTCTCTCCTCTCCCCTAGCTCTGTCTCCGCTCTCACTGCCCAGGCAGTGCTGGGCTGACTTTCCCCTGGCATTGCACCTGCTGTCTCCACATTCCCAGCCGTGCCCGTATTCCTGCCCATGGTCCCAGCCACGCAGTCCCTCCAGCTGACCCCGTGCTGCCAGCAGAGCTGGCTGGCTCAGCACCTGCCCTTCTGGGCACTCATTGCAGCTGAATGCAGCCCTGCCAAGGCCGGGATCCCTGCCCCCGGGCAGCTTCCCTCCCGAGACGCACTGGGTAGAGCCTGTCCCTGCACTGCCCAGGCCGCCTACCCCACCCTTCAATGCACCCTGCAGCCACATGGCCCCTCGGGAGAACAAGCCCCGTAGAGGGGAGCTGCCCTTGCTGTTGGCTGGGGAGCACCCGGAGATGGCGCGACGGTGGGTGGGTGCCTAGATCCCGTAGGGAGGCACATGCCTCATTCCGAAGGACCCCAAGACTGCACACAACTGCCCTGCCCCCGCCCCACCACTGACATGCAGCCACCTCTGGCAACTCACCAGGAATAAAACCACCCAACAGCTAGGATCCATTCCAGACGGGCAGGAGATGGCACACTCAGGCTGGCATTTACACAAACAGGGGATCAGGGCCAAGGCTACGATTTGGGAGACCCCAGGGAAAGGAGCAGGGTGGGGGGGGGGCTGTGCTGCATTTGGTGGGAGTGGGGAGGGGCTGAGGATCCTGCAGCTGGCAGGGAATTGGGTGGCTGGGGCACCAGTCCCCGAGGCAGAGAATTTAGGACAAGTTGGGGCAAATTTAGGGCAAGGTTCATCTGTGCAGGGCCTGGATTCTTGCTCGTTGGGAATGGACCCTGGGCACAGCCCCATCCCCTCCCGCACTCTCAGGCGGCAGTGCAATGCAAAGCCAGTCCCGTGGGACCCGCAGGGGGCACCTACCTCTCTCGCGGACGAAGTAGGCCAGGTACAGGTCGAGCTCCTTGACGGAGACGCTGATGTGGTGGGGCTGGACGCACAGGATGGGGTTGGTGCACTGGGCTGCCTTGACCAGCCGCTCCCCATCCGTGCTCTCCAGCGGGATACCCTTGAAGAGGATCACCATGACCAGGTCCAAGCGCCATACCTTGTCGGCCTGGCGCAGGCAGTCGATGCGCCGCATCTTGCCCTTCTGGTCGGGGTTGGAGAGGACGCAGCAGGAGGGCTTCTTGCCCGTGATGGAGAGCACAAAGTCCTCCCGGAACTCGGGCCGGATGTCCTTGCGTAGCTTGGCCAGCAGCCGGGACGCCCACTTCTGCTTGACCTCGGGCTTCTCGTTCAGCAGCTCGTCCTTCACCGCCCTCTCCTCATCCTTGGTCATCCTCTTCTCGTGCTTCTTGAAGTACTTGCGCTTGCGGGCCTGCAGGTTGAACCAGGTGTAGGCAAAGGCCCGGACGTGGGGGAGCAGCGCCTCGATGAACGGATGGAACTCATCCTGCAGGAGCAAGCAGACAGATCCGGCCGTCAGGACAGACGCACAGACAGGCAGGACCAAGTCCCTGGGCGCCGTGCACAGGGGGATTCTGTAGGGCCCATGGTTCTGTGGGAACACAGCATAGTATTGGGGGGAGGTGCTGGGCATCAGGACTCCTGGGTTCTCTTCCCAGCTATGGAAAAGGAGGGGAATCTGGCGGTTAGAGCTTGGGGCCCGAGAGACAGGACTCTTGTGTTCTCTGACAGAACTGGGAATAGAACCCAAGAGTCCTGACTCCCAGCTTCCTAGTATTCTAATCACTGGTCTCCATGGGGGACCTGGGACTCAGGGCTGCTGGATACAAGGGGAGTGGTGTCTAGTGGTTAGAGCAGGGCAGGCTGGGTGCCAGGACTCCTGGGAGGAGAGTGGTGTCTAGTGGCTAGAGTCGGGGGGTCTGGACTCCTGAGTTCTCTTCCCAGTGTGTGTCTCCTAGCAGGGCTAGGCTAGTCCCTGGGGAGCTGTGAAAAGGTAGGGGGTGGGGAGCAGAACTGGTACACCGGGGATCCCAGCCGGGGAATTCTGCTGCAGCCGTTCGATAAAGCGAATTATTGCATGTCCATTGTCCTCCCTGTTTAATGGACACAAATGGGCGACCCCTGGCCAGGCCCGGCCTGCAGCGAGGGCATTGCCAGGGGGTCGGGGCATGTCCCCTGGGGTGGCGGGGTCACCTGCTAGGAGCTCAGACCCTTTGCTGCCCCGCCTGGAGGTCCTCAGCCCCCCTTTGGGCCTGCTCCCGCCATGGGGCTGGGGGATCCCTCTGTCTTCTTTGGAGTCACTCCTGAGCTTACACCGGACTTAGGCCTGGGGGGTTTGGGGTGAGGAGAGTCTGGACCCCCCCACACACACCACGGCCGGCACAGTAGGAACCTGCTTTGGCAGGCGCTGTGGAGTGTGGGGCTGGGGCTGGATCATAAGCAGCCGGCGACTGTCGAAGCTCCAATTCCAGGTGCAATGGAGCTAATAGAGTGGGGAGGGTGCCGTGGCCACAGTAGCGAACCCCCTCCCCTTCCCTCTCGCCCCGATGGCCCAGCGATCCAGGCTCAGAATTCCCCAAGGCAGTGCCAGCTGCACGCCATCCTCCCATGAGACCTGTGCCCAGGGCCAGGCGAGGAGGAGCCGGCAGACTGTATTCTTGAGCCCAGATTGAATCAGATTCTGAGATCGGAGGCACCCAGGCTGGGTCTCTGTGCCCACCTCTTTGCCTGGGCATGAGTGCGAACTTATGTGCCTGCATGCCAGGGAACATGTGCGAGCCCACGCACAGAGCCAAAGGGGTCTGGGCCCAGCATTCCCTTTCCCAGACCGCCACAGAAGACCCCGCCTGACGCTGACCAGCGGCCGTGTGGCCAGCAGAACCATCGCGCCAAACGCAGCCCCATCCAGGGAACGCCCCAGATTCACCCCACTTCTGGCCCAGCCCCTGCTCCAGAGAGTGAGTCACGCTCTGACGGTCTTTTTCCACTTGGCTAGTGTTTCCCAGAGAGTCCGTCCAAGAAAGAAACCAAGAAAAGCGCCTCCCCTCCGTACCCAATTTCCCCATTTCGTGGCTTGGGGGAAAGCTCATGTGGAAATGCCGGAAGGTGGTTACTAGGTGCTAGGACTCTTCCGCCGGTGCTGGGGAAAGGACCACCTGCCATTAAAAAACACCAAAGCCAGTTCCCAGCTGCCTTTGCGTGTGTGCGAAGGAAGGAAAAATCCCCCCGATTGAGGCTGGAGATGAAACCCAAGAGGCAGCGGATTCTTCGTGCCAGACCTCCCTGATATTTTGGGCGCACTCCCTGCTTTGAATATGGCTCAGATTAAAGATAATTGGGATTGCATCAGGAAAAAGCCCTGTGTGCCAAGCCCGCTCTGCTATGGCAGCAGTTCGGAAATGTTTTCCTTGAGTCGCTCTGCAGAGCAGAATCTCCGCTCAGCACGATCGCATGGCAGGAGGCTGCTAACCACAACCGGAGCTGCTCCTTCTCACTCGCTCGGGGGCCAGATCCTTCCCTCGCCGACCCAGTGTAAAGTGGGGGCGGCTCGACTACAAGCAGTGGAGCTATGGTGGCATTAGAGAAGGCAAGGATCAGTCCCCGCGGCTCTTAAGAAAACACAAGAACTGTGAGAAGCAGCAGTTTTGCCCAAGAATTTGGAAAGCCGTTGAAAAATTATTTTTCTTTGGATTGTGGTTCTGCTCTGAAAAATGAGCGTTTGGAAAAAAACCAGCCCTTTCCTCCCGTCACCCTCTGCCTTTGGGGGGTGTCCTGGGCCAGGGCTGCTGACCTGGGTGACTAATGCAGCTTTCCCAGCTTTGGATTCCCGCACAGCTACCCTAGCAAAGGGAGAGAGGGCTGGAGTCCGCTCCTCCTGGGGTGTCATCCACAGACCCTGATGCCCACAGTCATGGCCACGAGAAATGGGGGTGTCCCAAGCAGGGGTGCTGGCTAGAAACCATGTATTCAATGTTCGTTATAATTACCTGCCAGCAGATCGAGGGAATGATTATTCCCCTCTATTCAGCACTGGTGAGGCCTCATCTGGAGTACTGTGTCCAGTTTTGGGCCCCCAACTACAGAAGGGATGTAGAGAGTCCAGTGGAGGGCAACGAAAATTATTAGGGGGCTGGGGCACATGACTGATGAGGAGAGGCTGAGGGAACTGGGATTGTTTAGTCTGTGGAAGAGAAGAATGAGGGGGGATTTGATAGCTGCTTTCAACTACCTGAAGGGGGGTTCCAAAGAGGATGGCTCTAGACTGTTCTCAGAGGTATCAGATGACAGAACGAGGAGCAATGGTCTGAAGTTGCAGTGGGGGTGGTCTAGGTTGGATATTAGGAAACACTGTTTCATTAGGAGGGTGGTGAAGCCCTGGAATGGGTTACCTAGGGAGGGGTGGAATCTCCTTCCTTAGAGGTTTTTAAGGTCAGGCTTGACAAAGCCCTGGCTGGGATGATTTAGTTGGGGTTGGTACTGCTTTGAGCAGGGGGTTGGACTAGATGACCTCCTGAGGTCTCTTCCAACCCTAATCTTCTATGATTCTAAGGTGGGGCGGCAGCCCCCCAGCGCCCCTCATTCCAGCCCCAGTCGTTCAATTGGAAGGCCACAGGGAGTCACCCAGGGCAGGAAGTGACCTGCAGGCCCTTCTGACCAGCAATGACTGGTTAGGGGGAAGCCCAGCTGGGCTCTCAGATCCCCGGCTGACCGTGCCAGGGGTAGGCAATAAAAAAAACAAATAAAAATTGAACAGGGAGCCAGGGCAGCAAGACCAAAAACGTATCTTTTTAGCTGCAAGCCAAGTGCCTCGGTTCTGGAGCCACTGAAACAATTTCCACGGTATGCATCCGATGAAGTGAGCTGTAGCCCATGAAAGCTCATGCTCAAATAAATTGGTTAGTCTCTAAGGTGCCACAAGTCCTCCTTTTCTTTTAACGAACACAGAGCCACTCGGCCCATCTCCTCCCAGGGTCGTGTTGGGAGGAGGGACGGCACAGGCCCAGGGGCAGGACCTAGGGTCCCGTCAGCACCGCAAGCCCAGGCTGCATCCCGCTCTGCACAGAGCTGGGGGCTGGGGGCTCGCTGACTGGGGACAGCCCGGCGTGTGCGGCTGGTGAGAGGGGGAATCTGGGAAGCCAGTGGGGATAGTCCAGGGCTGCATGCGGATGGCCCGGTGCTGGGACAGAGCCTGTCTGAGCTGGGGTAGATCCCGCAGTCTCCAGGCCAAGCAACCTGCCCTAAACCCACAGCGTGATCAGGGACCAGGGACCCCCCAACCCTGGCATCCCCCACACCCCTGCTGCAGATTCAGTTTCACTTTCAACCCCCCTACCCCCGTCAAACCCCAGCGGCTCAGGGCGTCCCAGGACAGCGGCGCCTAGTGGCAGCGACCTGATGCCCCAACCATGCCCCATCGCCAGAGCTAGCTGGTGAGTGGTCAGACTGTCTGCCAGCTCAGGACGGTACCATTCATGCTGGCCCTCTGCCAGGGGCCCATCCAACCCGGGGCAGGCAGGAGGGTGGGGGCCTGAGGCCAAGCCCTGGGGGCACTAGGGAAGCTGGGCCCAAGACTCTGGAGAGCTGCCCCCGTCGGGACGTCCCTGGTACCCCACGGGAGTGTAGCTGCAAGAGGAGGGAAGCTTGGATCCCCGCTGGCCCCCGGCACCGCCAGGCTGCCGGCTTGATTGGCAGCAGCCGCTAATCCCCGGCCGCCGGGCATGCAGCTTCCATCAGGCTACTTCCATCAAACTACTGCCGTGCCCCCAGCCCGCCCGGGCCAATCCCATCTCCAGCCAGTGGGCCGCATCCCAGAGCAGGCTCCTGGCGGGGCATCCCAGCACCAGATCGCTCCCCAGCCAGCCGAGTGGCTCCCCATGGAGCGTCCCTCAGGGAACGCCCCCTCCCGATGGTACAGCACCCCGGGCGCACCCCGCACCAGGGCACTCGTGGCTCTGAGGCAGGGAAGGAAAACGAACCAGGAACCCAATGGAGAGGGGAGTGGAGGGGACTCGTGCTGCCAAGGGGAGCGCTGACTGGTACCTGCAGGGCCCCTCTCCAAGCATGGGCACCTCCTTACACACCCACTGTGGGCACCTCTCCTTACACACCCACCATGGGCACCTCTCCCAGCACAGGCACTGCTTCTTACACACCCACCAAGGGTACTTCTTCTTACACACCCAGCATGGGCACCCCTCCTTACACACCCTCCATGATCACCTCTCCTTACACATCCACCATCGGCCCCTCTCTAAGCACGAGCACCTCTCCTCACACTTCCACCATGGGCACCTCTCCTTACACACCCACCCCATGGGCAACTCTCCCAGCACAGACACTGCTTCTTACACACCCACCATGGGTACTTCTTCTTACACACCCAGCATGAGCACCTCTCCTTACACACCCAACACGGGCTCCGCTCCTTACATACCCACTGTGGGCGCCTCTCTTTACACACTCAGAGGCATTCCTGCTCACACACAG